TATATATATATATATATATATATATATATATATATATATATCTTTGACTTCCTCTGTTTAAAAAAAGTCAAGTCAAAAATGTGTGTGGGCAAAAGGCCTTAATACAGATATAGATAAAACAAATACAGACGTACAAACACTGTCCAAATGGCGAACTAATGTCATAAAGTTAAGACAAGCTTTGGTGATGAAAGACAAGCAAAGGTAATTAATTTGATTTATCATATCAATTTATCCTCAGAGATCCCAAGGCATTGTTTTGTCTTTCTTTCATTTTTGAAATGAGGAAGCCAACGAAATCATACGTTTCTCCTGAAAAACGCGTACTTAATAAAAATTTCCACTTAGTCCCATCGTCTTAACTTTAGTTTCGAATACTAATATACATCCTTCAAACATTGTTGCTCGTAACGGGAGGGCGGGAGTAATCACTTTGCCCTTTCTTACAGAGATACCTCCCGCCCTTCCCAAAATCCCTGATTCCGAGATGAGTCCAGTCAAGGGTTGAAGAAGTCTGGCGCAAGGTTGCACCAGCTAAAATAAGCTACACACACATGAGTTAATTTTTTTTGCTGTGTAACACACACACACACACACACACACACATATATATATATATATATATATATATATATATATATAATATGTTGATACATTATTTGTCAGTAAAAATGAATACCCTACCACCTCTCATGAAGATGACTGGTTTTCTCCATATCCATAGAAAGTAATATTTTGAATCTATGTGTTTATAAAGCTCCGTAAATTTCAAAATAAGTTATTCCAAAATTAGCTTGAAAATGAAACAGAACTAGGTACTTTACTTTAATTCAATTTCTATAAATGAACTGGAAGATTTTAGCTTCTTCTTTGAAACATGGTAATTCCTGTGTAGCGATGGAATCATATTTTTTAAAAAAGTAAGTATAATCAAGGCTCTACTTGTGTATCGAGCACTGTTTTTTTAAAAAATGAAAACAAAAATACTAAAGAGCTTCAGATCCTCAATCTAACGGTTCTTTCCTATTTCATCAATATATTTGCACACGCACGCACGCACACACACACATGTATATGTAGTAAAGATTATAAATGCATTGGTATATAATCAATGTGGATCCTAGTAATATAAAAGGGATCAATGTATTTATTATTACAAAGCAAATAAATAGTAGTACAAAATAGAATACAAAAATTAGCTATATTAAAGAATAAACTAATAATTAAAAATGAAAACATAATCAAATAAAATAAATTAGACGTTAGAAAAAATTAACTTTAAAGATAAATTAAATCAAAAATAAGTTATATTAAACAAAAAACTAAAAATCAAAGTTATATTAAAAAAAATTAAAATTAAATTATAGATAAAGAGGTGTAAGTAATAAAAGCAAAGAGAGCTTTTAGAACAGGGGACATTTATACTACTAATAATATAAAGTAATATAATGTAAAAATGGAAATATAGAAATTAACATTAGTTATACATTCGACATTCGAAAAGTAAGAGAATTATAGTAGCCAAAATAAGTACAATCTATATTATGGAAATTGAATTTGTTTTTATGTCGACATTTTACAACTAATTCATTCCTTTGATTCATTAGTTTGCTTTGATTATTGAATTTTATTATTCTATTTTTTCCTTCTAAACCATAACTTACACCTATCCCTAAGATTATGAGGAGAGTGTGCGGAAACTATAAATTGCCTATCTCTCTGTGGTTTCAGGCCTTTCTCCTTCAATTTACAATTTTTTTTTAAAGAGCTGTCTGGTGTTTTAATTTAGGGTTGATAAAAGGGTGCCTATAGGTATAAAATCTCTATTTTCATTCCCCCACAGATATTCCAATGTAAACATTATACTTTTCCCAATTTTCTTTGGGGTAAATGGTTGCTTGGCATATGACACTAGTAGATCTGTATTTGCCCTCAACTGGACAATTTTCTTTATATCTACAATTACTGGAGGGTTCCATACCAGTTTCGTTGTTTATCCCATAGAAATTACTTAAAATATAGTTATTACGATATTATATAACGGGGTTGAGTAAGACTGACACAGTTTTTATCAGTTGGATTAGGTCTATTCCCTATATGAGGTAATTTGGATTTTATTGTGTTTGTATATATATATATATATATATATATATATATATATATATATATATATATATATATATTTAACGTTCTTTTTATAGATACAAGTATTTAAGTAAATGCACTGTTTACTTAAATACTTGTATCTATAAAAAAGAACGTTAAACATAAAAATGTCTTTAATAAATAAATTGTCGGACTTTGTCCATTTCTTAATATATATATATATATATATATATATATATATATATATATATACGAGAATTAATGAAACTTTGAAACCAGCTAAACGAAATACAAAATAAACCGGTTATCAATAACCAAGTCATCTCCTGTAAAAATGAATACGCCTAATATCTAATCCAAAACGTCAGATGAGTTTCATGTTATGAAGCGACCCTCAGACGACTTAACGTGATAATAACTGATATATCTTATTAAAAGATAATATGGTTTATTATTATTATTAAAATTATTATTATCATTATTTGGTCTAGCAAGCTCATAAGCCTAAAAGGCCAACCACCATGCTCATATTGGTTGCACTAATGTGTCATGTAGGTGGTTGCTGGGCGTCAAACGTTTCTTGCGCTATGGATAGGTGTCCAAATCAGTAGATCACTTGCAAGTCCTTGTTTTGCTCGTCGCCAGAAATGTCCTGCAAAGCGCATTCTGCGTTCACATGAGATTGGTGAAATATCAGGTATGAGTCTATAGAGCTGTGATTTAGTTGGATGTTGTCTCCAAGTGTTAAGCATAGCTCTCAGCATCTGAATGTAGGTTTCATCAAAATTTGACTCAAGAATTTTAGTTAATGTCCAAGCAGTGTCAACATACATTAAAACCGTCTCTACAGTGGCTCGAAAATAATATCTCCGTTTGATGTTGTATGCTAGAACAGATTTCTAGATTACGGACATTATATTCAATGCGGCCATCTCTCTCTCTCTCTCTCTCTCTCTCTCTCTATATATATATATATATATATATATATATATATATATATATATATATATATATATCAAAATTTCTCTGATTTAACCAGTAGAGAAGAGACAATATTTATGAATAAAATGACAATAGGAAAACTGGTAATTGTGACGCGTTTCGTCTAATGTGGACTTTTGCTTTGATAAAGTCCACATTGGACGAAACGCATCAGCAATTACCTAGTTTTCCTATTGTCGTTTTTATTCATATATATATATATATATATATATATATATATATATATATATATATATATGCCATCGGTAAATTGTCGACACTTTTTATATTTTAATTTCGCACATGCGCGTTGTTTGTTGTTGATTTTCTCGACTGCAGATGTAGTAGGCTCAATGCTTCAGTGAGAATAGCGCTCAAAACTCACTCTGGTTATTCTGGTACAAAAAGAACTCCTGAATTTGTTGATGAGGGTCTCCGGCTCAACACAGATGCCTACATCAAGTGACATGAGGAGGAATGCAACCCTGGTTCAAGGGGATGGCTGCCGAAAGACGCTATGTCTGGCAACAGAAATTTGCATCATGCCTCACAAGCAGGAGAACCCTGTCATAGCTGTCAGACAGTTTTTGCGAGAACATCGCCCTTTCCATCTGTCCACCTAACTCCCCAGGCTGCAACCTCTTTTATTACGCTGTGTGGGACGCAGTTCAACGAGAGACCAACAAAACTCCTTGTAACACTAAAGATTAATTGAAGGCAAGGGTTATGACAGCATTCGCCAACAAGAAGACCATCCAGAAGTGTTTCAGGAGAATTCCAGCTCTTCTGGAGGCCGTGGTTGAAGAGATTCGGTGATTTTTGTGAATATAATTTAGTTTTTCAAGATATTTGGGGGTAAATTTGGTAAATATATTTGTTAAAAGAGAGATATCACTGTTATTTTCATCTTTGCGCAATTTAGACGACAATTTATCCATCGCATATACAAAACGTGTTATAAATATTTTAATGACAATTCTTCCGATGAGCATTCCTCTTTGCTAGTTTGACATTACGCATTTAAACGCAGTACTACATTGGCAGCTAGGTCTCGATAGTTACCCGATCACCCTACAAAACGGGATGTGGCACAAGGCCAGTTTAACGTGGGGTTTTCCGATGGCGTACGCTCGGGTAAAAATCCCTCGTAGACCTCGTGGTCGGGTGGCTGTCCACATTTCCCTAGACGAGACTCTGCCCGTAGACATAGCCTCGTCTGAGATTCTCTTCGCCCGAAAGCAGAATGCGACAAGCTGACTTTCATATACACTTGGCAGCTAGGTCTCATCACTTTACAGTTGAAATGGCTAAATGTATCCGTAAGTTCTATGTTAGCAGTATCTTCTCTTCGCTTTTGGAAATCTCTTCTGTCTTCTTTCTTTCCAGTCAAGTTTGATCTTCAAAAATGCAAATGTAGTGTCAATCGTTATCTTCTGTCTTCCTAATTTCTGTTCTTTTATTGTTCTCTCTCCTTAATAATGTTTTTTTTTTTTGTTATCTTCTTTCACATTCAGTAATCTCCTTGCGTCTTAGTGGCTTTATTGTCTTGCTTGGAGTAAAAATATTAAAAAAAGAAACCAGATAATCCATCAGACGTCTCATATTACTGAAATCAATTTGAACAGGAGATCTTAAACCGCGGAAACTTGCGATATGACTTCGTTGGAGATAATTATAGTTTCTTTACGAATTTTGTAAGAAATGTCGATAAACTGAAATAACCCTAGTCATATTAATAGTGTTTGATTTATAGATCATGACAGTTTTGATTTATCTTCGTTTGAATAAATCATATTTCTTTGGGGTTTTTTATGTCTTTTTTTTTTGAAGTAACGTTTTCTTGTGATCGCCAAGTTTTCGGCAACATAAAAGCTGCATTGATTGCCTTGCTTAATCGATTTTATGTTTTATTCTTACGGCCCTATCACGTTGGACTACTGGTTCCCGTACGATCACCGAAGTTATGCAATATTGAGCCTGGACAGTACTTAAATTGGTGACAGTATGGGAATGCCAACTTCTGTAAGCTTGGAACTGTCGTTAATGAATAATGGCTCGAAATTGTTAATTAGAGAAACGAGTCGCAATTTCAATTGGGTTCGTTATTTTCACTTCAGCCAAATACCAGGTTCTGTAAGCTTGAATCTGTCGGTAATGAATAATGGCCTGAAACTGTTAATCAGAGAAACGAGGCCCAATTTCAATTGGGTTCGTCATTTTCACTTCAGCCAAATACCAGGTTCTGTAAGCTTGATTCTGTCGGTAATGAATAATGGCCTGAAACTATTAATCAGAGAAACGAGGCCCAATTTCAATTGGGTTCGTCATTTTCACTTCAGCCAAATACCAGGTTCTGTAAGCTTGAATCTGTCGGTAATGAATAATGGCCTGAAACTGTTAATCAGAGAATCGAGGCCCAATTTCAATTGGTTTCATTATTTTCACTTCCGTCAAATACCCCTGGAAAAGGTAGGGTTTAACATATTGTCCTCTAGCTATCGATCTAAAAACATTATTAACTCAAACTGCGTACGAAGTATTTAGATATCGCAATTAAATAACCCATATTTGCTAATATGCCGCTAAACACAACCAACCAACAAATGTTTTATATCTTCATATGTTTTTATTTATATTTTTATTTTATGTGTTTTGTCTATTTTATTGGGTTGGGGGTGGGAGCTTTGTTTACTTCATTTTTTGTGGACATCTACTGATGTAAATTAAAACAGTTATATATTCATATTAAACATTTAACTGAGCGAGGAGAGGGTTGAGCTCCGTCAGTCTGTCTTGCCCATGACACACCATTGCTGCTACCGGTGCAGTGCATCTAGTGCCACTTAAGGGCCCCTATTGGGATACGTGGCTCCTTTTTATATATTTATTTTTATTTTATTCTTTTTTACAGTGAGAGTCAGATTTTACAAGACCCGAAGGCCGAGTGTTACGTTAGGAGGCCATATGTCTGTATAGGTGAGAGGGTTTGCAATTAACTCTAGCCTTGAATAGGTTAAGATTGTAGTGATCGGAGAAACATCTTGGCGAGAGTCGGTTCCACAGGACAGTTGTTCGCTGGAAGAAGCTGCTCGACTGGAACTTATTTCTCACTGATGGAATACAGAAGGAATGTTGGTGGGGGGTGCTTGCTACGATGTAAGTGGCATGGCGTGTTCTTGCCGTGAAGGTTTATCTTAGCGAGACCAGGGAATGTAGTGTGTCTGAGCACTTTCCATGGTATAGCAGCGAGAGGTTTGCCACATCTGGCCTGTGGAAGAGGGGTTGATGTGTGGAGAATGATTCGTCCCACACAATGCCTCCGAGACGCTTTTGAACACTGTCAAGGCTGGAGAGGTCTTGTTTCCTTTCTCTCTCTCTCTCTCTCTCTCTATATATATATATATATATATATATATATATATATAAATAAGAAATGTACAAAGTCCGACAATTTATTTATTAAAGACATTTTTTTTTATGTTTAACGTTCTTTTTTATAGATACAAGTATTTAAGTAAATGCTCTGTTTATAATAAACAGTATTAAATAACATTTACTGGCCTGGATATATATATATATATATATATATATATATATAATATATATATATATATTTAAACATATATATATATATATATATATATATATTAATTCAATGGTATTTGAAACAGACGCCTTGTTTTTGTTTTTAAAACTTTATCTTACGTCTATCATTCTGTGTATTCGAGAAATCCTAATAATGAATCCCCGGCAAGGATCGAACTTGCATCTTTCTTAATAGGAGTAAACACCGACGCAACCATCGTGATTTACCCTGTCGCCCTAGATGGTATTGCCGTCAAGCACGGTTCTATTTTGTCTTTCAAGTAACCCAAACTTCGTCATTCACATGTTCTTTTTCTCGAAAGACACTAGTATAAAAATACACCGCCAGTTAGTCGTAACAGAAAGACTCTTCACTGTTTGCATCACGTGGAGATCGCACACCACCTCAATTTTTACAGTCCGTTCGACGACTGACAGTCCTGTGGTTGAACCATCGAACTCCGGGAAAAGTTTAATGTTGAGACGACAGAGTTAGCTTGTAGTAAATTTAAAACGAGCGGTCAATATAAATTCGTACAGCCGCAAGACCACACTTCCTGCAATCAGCCTTCATCACGGGTCTCCATTTGCTCACTGCCATATGATTTATATACAATCAAAGACGAGTATGCTAATTCGTAGGTAACATATAGAGGATTTTCCATCAAACGTCTTCCGTTATAACCGACGAAATAACCCTGCCCCGGTTGTTTTTTTAGCCATCATGGAGCTAGAGTTATGAGAAGGCGCACGCCTTCAGGCTTTTTTGGAGCTAAGTGAATATATTTTGAATATGTAGTTGATTTAAGGCCGTTATAATGTTCAAATTGTTACAAAGTATGAGTCAACGTGAACTCTCCATGAGACTTGGAATATCAAGATTTGTTCAAGTCACCGAGAAAAAAAAATGTTTTGATATGAAAACGTGTTATATAGGTGTTATGGGGTCCAACCTTTTCGGATATAATGGACTCGTCCTGCTGCCATAAAGTAGCCACAGTCAGGCAGAGAAGATGACTCGTACCGGAGTCGTAAAGAGTCGTACCGGAGTCGTCTGTGAGTGTCGGTAGTCGGATAGAGTGAAGTAACCTCTTGTAGAAGTCGGTTACAAGCACGTAGACTCTAAGGAAGTCCTACTTCGAGACTGTATATATCTATCTGTATTTGCTACTAACCGGCGTTCCTGGATTTTACTAACAGCATTACCTTTTGTATTTTGTGTAAATACATTTAATTTCTTAGCTTAAATACTTGCGTTTGTCATTTATTGGATACCTATTTTTGACGCGGGATCCACAACAATAGGAATAAAGTGTCGCTGCCAACGATTGAGTTTGAACATAGATCGCCAGTGAGAAGACAAAGGCGATCCCATTATTAAATTAAGTAGCCCACGTGACTATAGTGGAAACGTATATATGGGAAGTAGCGTGTCTAATGGATCGCATTTGTAGTCTATCCTCTATTACTATTCGGATCTTTATTTCTAGTCTATCCTCTATTACTATCCGGATCTCTATTTCTAGTTTATCCTCTATTACTATTCGAATCACTATTTCTACTCTATCCTCTATTACGATGCGGTTCGCGATTCTTTTCTCCACGCTATTCTCTACACTGTCCATTCGCTGGTTACTTTAAGTGTCTTGACAGAGGACGGTAAGTGCGACAGTGAGATCAGTAGACGTATTGGGATAGCCAAGGACACATTCAAAAAGTTGGGCAGAGTATTGCGAGACAAGAGGATTTCTTTGGTAACGAAGAAAAGAATACAGAGCTGTTACATGACATTTGTCCTTCTTTACGGCAGCGAATGTTGGACGATTTCCTCAGAGATAAAGAAGAGACTCGAGGCGACGGAGATGTGGTTCTACAGAAGGATGCTGAGGATAACATGGACCGAGAGTATGAGCAAAGATGAGGTCTTAGAGAGATTGCAAACAAGTAGAAGGCTTATACTTAACATCAGGAAAAGGCAGCTGAAATTTCTGTGACACATAATGAGGATAATGGGCCTGGAGAATCTGATACTCACAGGTCGAATAGAGGGAAAGGGATAACAACGTGTATCATACCTGACGGGCATAAGCAAGTGGGTGAGAGAATGTGATTTAGAAGAGGAAGCAGGGGAAAGGCACTTGTTGGGAGCTGCAATGGATAGAAGGAGGTGGAGAGCCATGATCGCCTATGCCCTGAAAGGACATGGCACATAAAAAGAAAGAATTATCGAGCAAGTCCTATTAGTGCGAGTGCTATTCGAAGGCGTCTGACACCAGTATTGATCAACGGCATTACTATAGTTGTAGCTGCGATTACAAAGTCTCTACTACAAACGCGCATTACGTAAGTGACAAAAAGTTTTCGTTGGCATCGCAAAAAGTGGCAACAAGTATTCGTTGACATCACAAAAAACAGCTTTAGCTATTTAACCCATAGCTGAAGAAAAATAAATCCATGACTTATCCAAGAGCATAAGTGAGATGTTTGCCCCCCCCCCCCCAAAAAAAAAGTGACATGTGTAGAGGACCGTAGCGGTGATGAGCATGTATTGTAGAAGAATACAGGTGAGTTAAAATTTCCTGATAACCAGTCCAACTATATGAGTGTTGTGGATTCCGGGTTGAAATCCGGTACCAATAAATAACAAACGCCAGGAATGAATATATGAAAATAATGTATTAACGTAATAATACAAACTGGTAAAGCAGGTTAGTAGTTCCAGGAATACGGGTTAGTAGCAAATATATATATAGGTATTTACTTGACTCCCACAAGGTCAAGATGTGACACAAGGTCGTTTAACGTGGGAAACCCGAGTGTTTCCACTCAAAGGCCACTGGTCAAAATTGGTCAAAGCATGTCCAAGCTGGTCAGAGCTTAGTCAAAGCTGGTCATGACTTGTCCTAGCAAGTCCAGGCCGGAGCCAGTCCAAGCTAGTCGAAGCCTTGATCGAATCTCAGCCATAGGCCAAGAAACGATCCAATATTTGTCAAAACCCCCAGCATAATGCCAGGTAAGTATAATCGCTTTATGACTTCTTACTGAGTCTACGTGCTCGCTCACTGTGATTCCTACACCGCTGTTACCTCACCCTCACTCTTCAGGTTACCTACAACCTTTTACTCTGTCACTCTGGACTCGACTCTTCAGTCTGCTCTTCTAGTATTCACTGGCAGTAGTATAAGTATACACTGGGTGAGTCCATTTGTATAAAAAAGGGATGGACCCCTCAACAATGAGAAAGTTGGACTTTAATTAAGTCCAAAGAAAACAAAGAAACCAAACACGACCGATAAATATATGTAAAGAAATATATGTATTAACAACAAGTACAAGTTACGAGCACATGGACAGTTACATTGAGTGCGTGTGGTGAATATTATGTGTGCATGTTATGGTGAGTGTTTGTACGTACATGTATTGTTCTTAGT